ATATAAAATTTTTAATCCCATCGAAATAGTGCGGGAGTGCCGTTCAGTATCGCGCGTAAAATAACGAAAATAGCGATATAAAAATATCGCTCGCGAGTGCGGAAGTGTTAAAAGATCGCGCGTCAACAACATGAGAGGAGGAGGAGACCTGGGAGAGGCATCTTGCACCGGCGGAACAACCTGATGGTGAATATTATTATTTATATATTAATATTATTATTTATATATTAATTGTTATAAATCATTAATTTGTTATAAACGGACAATAATTTGATCTTATTATTTAAATGAATTAAAGAGAAAGATTTTTATGAAAGATTTTTATTTTCATATAAAATTTTCTATTTAAAAAACAGTTTCAAAAATTTATAAAATTTTTCCATACGTGTTTATCTGCTTATTATTTTACACATCGGATATAAAATTCCGCGCGATAAAAATTTTTTTAAACATTAATTGCATTTTGTGAGCATTATTATAAATGAATTTTATATTTGTATCTTACAGACAACTAGCTTCAATAACAACTCCGCTGTTGCGCATCAATGCCGGTGAGTGAAAAAAACTTTTATTTTACTTTAAGGTAACAGATTCGTACACAGAGAAAAATGTATACTGTATTCAAGTAAATATTATTTATTTTAAGTATATTATAAGTTTGTATATCCGCAAATATATCATAAGTTCACCACAAGCATTATTTTAAATTTAATTGAATATATTCTGAATTTTAATAAATGCAGTATTTTAATCAAGAATATTAAATTAAAACAAAAAAATTTGATTTGCTTACAAGAGTTGACGTGAAATAAGTTTGATTTTTCTTTGATACAGCTTTACAATATTCTTGAAGAGAAAATAAATTCTTCTTGAGTACATGATAATGAGATTTTCTAACACTTGTGATGAGTATATTTTAAGACTATTATCAAGAATATATTCTTTGTTGAAGAAAACTATTACTTAAAAGAAGAAAAATAAACTGAGTAATCGCTTTTCTTGACAGTAGAATGATATTTTTCTCTGTGTAGAGATTGCAGATGTAGATGTAGATTGTAGATAAATCCGTTGCCTTAAAATGGATGAGCTAGGATGGATTAAATTAAATAAATTAAATTAAATAATTAAATTAAATTAATTAAATTAAATAATTTTAATAAGTTCTTTCGAACTTATGTTTTACATTTATTGTGAAAATATATTGAAATATTAATTAAAAAAAGAAGAGATCAAGAAAAGATTTTTTTGTAAAGATTTTATCTAATTTATTAAATAAAGAACACCCATTAATAATTATTAATTTTATCAATTTTTGATGCTAATTTAATCTTATAATGCACTTATTTTCTAATTGCTCATAGCTCATCCATCGTAGAATTTGTTTGTAGATATTGTTGTAGAAACTTTACTTTAACTTAATATAAAGCCAAATGATTAATTAATTAAATAATTTGTAATATGATAAATATACATACATTAATTATATATTTTATTATAAAATATAATTTATAGAAATTTGTAGTAATTTGGCTTTATTTCAGTTAAAATAAAGTTATATTCAATATTTAACGAGCGATCGTGAAATCGAACGATCGTTATTAAGTGAGCGTAAATATTTCACGCTCTTTTGCTGGTAATTATCCAGCAAAAGAAGGAATAATTATCTCCTTCTTCGATCTCTGATTAGAGATCGAGAAAGAAAATGGCCAGGATTTCAACGAAAGGTAGGTTCAACTGGCCTGAAGAATACGGTTAAGGCACGCGGTTAGGCCACGCGATTAGGGTACGTGACTAAAATATATATACATGATTAGGTGAGGTGATGATTAGAGATAGGTTTCTCAAATCTCGAATAATTTTAGTTAATCAGGAAGTAGGGTTGTTAAGGCTATTAAGTAAAATCATTAGAATTTTTATATTGATATTAGGGTTGATAGGACTCTTAAGATCATTAGAATTCTATAATAGTAGGATTGTTAGGGCTATTAAGAAAGATTCATTCTTTCTTTTAATATTCCAATAATTGTAATTAAAATTATTTTAATTCAGTTGAATTTATTTTTAAAAACGTAAAAATAAATATAACATGTTTTAAAAATAAAAATGTTTTAAAAGTGAAATTTAAATTATCAAAATTCTCTTCAGAAATATTAAAGAAATTGCATAATTATTAACGTTTAAGAAATCTTAACATGTTATATTTTATTTTAAAATTTAAAAAAATATAAACTTAAAAATATATGTGTATTTTAAAACTTAAAAAAATATAACCTTAAAAATATATGTATTAAATCAAATATAATATTAAATCCAAATGTTAATGCTATCAATATCAAATTATTATATTGATATTATTAAATATTTGAATAAATGAAATATTATTAATTGATATTGATAGCGTCATAAATTTGTAAATTGTAAATTGTAAATTATAAATAGTTATAATTGTATTTCAATTATAATCTAACATTGATATTTTAATTGTAAAATACAATACAATTATGACTATAATTATATTATATGAAATTGTATTTACGATTGTAAATTCTTAAAATTCTGCAAAATTACACGAAAAATTATCGAAAGTATACATATAATGATTACATAATAGTAATTAATATAATAACATAATAGTAATTCATTAAATTAAAGTGTTTGTTTTTGTAGTATATAATTTTGGAATATTCAAAAAAGAGTAACAATTTGTATTTTCATGTCAAAGAGTCATTAATAAATTCGGAAAATTTTTACATAAAATGTATAATATATAAATATAATATATAAATTCGATGCTAAATTAATGATTAAATAAAAGCATTATAAAATTTGACGGATGCCTTCGTTACAGAATCGCGAGTCAATTATTATAAATTTAATTACGAATTTTAAATCGCGATTTATCTTATAAAAATGAGAAATTGGGAAATAAATCGATCAGTAGCAGAATTGTATATTCGCAAAACATTATAGACCTCAAATGTTTGTTAAAATATCTTTGATTTTCTATATTTACGTGATAATAATTATATCGTGCTCGTGTCTATTGAGAGCTAGGATTATTATATTACAAAAATTATACATATCGCGATTAAATATTCCACATATTATCGACTTATTTATTCGTCGCGTTCTCGCATGAATTCAAATCGCGATTTCTCTTATAAAGATTCGTAAATGACTCGGACAGTGAGTACTATCTTCGTAAACATTATATACAGACATCAAATTGTCTATCAAAATATTTTCCATTTATGTGATAATAATTATATCGCGCGCGATATAATAATGTCTATTATATATATCTAATGTAAATGAGGGCGCTTCGATTATTATACTATAAAAGATATACACACACATATCGCAATCGGATATTCCGAATATTATCGATTTATTTATTCGTTGCGTTTTCTCGCGAATTTTAAATCGCGATTTATCTTATAATTTAATATTATCTTATATTTTAATCGTTGACTTATACATCAAAACTTTGTTTATCTTTTCACGTCTTTGATTATTGTCTTTAATAATCCGCATAAAATGCACTAATAATATAAATATTTTTTTCTATAATTAAAAAACGGTCGATAACTTTATTAATGACTATTTTGATCACGATTGTTTACACTAGATAAATCTTATTAAATTCTATTATTACATCGATTATTAGAGGGACCTTGATAAAATCATTCAATTTTCTATTAAACGTAGCGATAACGCGATTTTTTAATTATATTTTAAAGCTTATAAAGCTCATTTTATCTTATTTAGTTAATTATGCGCGAGATAGGATATGTATTTTATTCTCAATCGCGAAATTCGTATAAAATCGCATGTTAATCACAAATAATTTGGACAGTGAATTTTATGTTCATAATACGGACCACAAATGTTTATCAAAATATCTTTGTATATTATCATTTGTGTGATAATAATATTATGTCGCGCGCGTATCTATTGATAGTTTTGATTATCATATTATAAAAATTATACATATATTTTTCGTAATCGAATATTATCGATTTATTTATTCGCGTTTTCTCGCGAAATTTAAATCGCGATTTATTTTGTAATTTAATTGTTGATTTACATTGAAGCTTATTTTATTTTTTCGTATTTTGAATATTTTCTTCGATAATCTACACAAAATGCGCCAGTAATGCAAATACTTTCTTCTACAATCAAAGAAATGATGAATAATTTTATTAATGACTCTTTAATCACGATTATATATATTTACGTTACATATAACTTATTAAATTCTATTATTATAGCATATCAATTATTATAATGATAAATGTTGCGTAATTGATCATCGCTAATCGGGCTTGTCTGGACTACATAAAAATTTTTAATAAATTTCATATTATACGTATATTTTGGATATTTTCGCATAATAAATTATTCCATGTAATACTCGATCAACAGCAGAATAAAAAAAAGCTTTATATATATAAATATTTATTTTTTGAATAGAAATTATTTTCGATATGTGACTGATGGTAAATTGTAAGATCGAATTTTTTTAATTATACAAATTTTCTATGGAATAAATATTATATATAATATATAATCCATTTATTTCATATAATATATAAATAATTATATGAAATAAATGGAGATATATAAATATATTATATTTATATATAATATATTATGGAATAAATATATTTGCGGAATGAATATAATATAACTGAATAAAGACATCTGACATCGGAATATATACTATACTGGGTGACTCATTTGAAATATGGTCCTGTTCTTTTTAGCTGCACTACTGCACTAGTGCGATTAGAGTGAAAGAAAGGGGGATTGCCCGATTAGCACAGTACGATTAGACACAGCCAATCATATCGACCGATGCCTAGGGTAACCAGCACGATCAAGCACGATTAGCCAATCAAAGCCAGTTGTGTCCAATTGTACTGTGTCTAATCGGAGGTGTCTCGAAAGAAAGTATGTTTGTCTCTTTCCAACTTACTGCACTAGTGCAGCAGTGCAGCTAAAAAGAACAAACCCATACAATTTCAGTTCAGTCACCAGTATAGTGTATGTTCGATGTCAGCTGTCTCGTCCTATATAATGTGTGTATAATAGGTTAAAAACATCTCTCAGTCTTCTGTCTGTTGAGAGTATGTAAAACTATAAGGTAACTGGAAACAATTTTCAATAAATGTCCATGGTAGTGGAATTATAAAAAATGGCTACGTTCGAGATTTTGAGAAAAGATTATAGTGTAAGTGAGAATATTTTTACGTAAATAATACAAGCGTGAAGATTGTTTGACATATATTTAGAGTTATAGAATTGCATTTACGAGGTATCATGTTCCTTTTGTTTTAGGATTATTTGCAGCAATATTTTAAGCTGTCGGATGTCTCATTGTTTCAAAAGAAATGCGTCGAACGTTGTGGGAACGATGGCGACAGAAAAGCAGCGATCGATCAGGCGCTGCGTGACACTCTATTGGTGATTTTGACAGAAAATGCATCGGATAATGTTCATTCTTTGGAAATGTATATCACCTTCTGCATAGAGCTGTGCAGAAAGGATCTAGCGACAGCTAGTATGCCAGTCATGCTATTGGGTGACATCTTCGATTCGATGACCCTGGATAAATGCGAACAATTGTTCACCTTTGTTGAAAATAACGTTACCATATGGAAGGAGGACTTGTTCTTCACTGCTTGCAAGAACAATTTGTTAAGAATGTGCAATGATTTATTAAGGAGACTGTCACGTTCGCAACAAACTGTTTTTTGTGGGAGAATTTTGTTGTTTCTTGCTAAGTTTTTTCCCTTTTCGGAAAGATCAGGTTTGAATATCGTCAGTGAATTTAATCTAGAAAATCATACGGAATTTGGTTCTGAAAAAGTGGAAGGAGATGATCTGGAGCAAATAACTAAAGACGACGACAAGTCAGAAAATAAAATACCAATTGATTATAATTTGTACAGAAAATTTTGGGCTCTGCAAGACTTCTTTAGAAATCCAAATCAGTGTTATGTTAAAGTGCATTGGAAGGTGTTTTCAGCTGTTAGTTCATATTTTTTCTTCAAGTAGTAATATGTATATTTTTATTATACAAAAGATTTACTAAAAATATACTTTTAGCATGCATCTAATGTACTGTCGGCATTTGCATCTTTTAAATTAGAAGATCAGCGTAGTTATCCTACAACATGTATAAATATGGACTCTTCAATGGAAGGCTCTTACAAGGAAACTCATTACTTCGCAAAATACTTGACTAATCAGAAATTACTAGAATTGCAGCTGTCTGATTCTAATTTCAGACGATACGTATTACTGCAATTTCTCATTGTTTTCCAGTATCTGAATAGCACTGTAAAGTTCAAGGCGTAAGTATCTCATGCCCTAACGCACTAAATATTTTGTAATGAATTCATAAGCTTCCTTATTTTGTTGAATTAACAAATTTGCTTAATAAAATGACACTAGTATGATATTTCTGAATAGTCACATAAAACAATGTTTGTTTTTCAAAGCTTCCTTGCCAGTGGCTATGAGACAAGGTCTGCTTTTCTTAAATTAAATGTCCCATGACATGTATGTTATCAAAGCACTATGACGTTTATCATTTTTAAGTGAGACACATGAGCTCAAACCAGATCAGGTGGAATGGGTGAAGACTACTACAGAACAAGTCTATGCTCTATTGACGGAAACACCGCCCGATGGACCTGCATTTGCAGAGACCGTGAAAAACATCTTAAAACGTGAGGAACATTGGAACGCATGGAAAAATGAAGGTTGCCCACCATTTAAAAGACCAGCGTCGGACATCATCGACGGTGACGAAGAACCACGTAAACCTAAGAGACCAAAACGGAGAATCGGTGATGTAATTAGAGATGCGCAAGCAGTTGGCAAATATCACATGGGAAAGTAAATAGCTTTTTTAATAAATTGAAGAATTTTAATATTTCCGTGCGAATCGAAGTAATTAAATTTATGTTATTTTTCGATAGCCTAGAGCTTACTAAATTATGGAATCTATGTCCTAACAATCTCGAAGCATGCAAATCAAAGGATAGAGATTTCCTCCCATCTTTAGAAACATATTTTGAAGATGCTATTATGGAACTAGATCCTGCTGCAATGGTTGATGACAAGTACAAGTAAATACTATCATTTATTATATATATTTGCTTTCATTCAATAGTTAACATTTTTATATTTATACAGAAAAGTGAATGATGGTAATTTTGGTTGGAGAGCATTAAGACTGTTAGCAAGACGAAGCCCTCACTTCTTCGTTCATGGAAATTATCCTATAAATAAATTACCTGAATATCTTGAGACAATGATTAAAAAAATCGCCAAAGATCGCCCAGTAAGCATCCAGTATTCATTATCCTACCTTATTTTTATGTAAATATGTTTAATTTAGATTTTTTGTAACTATGTTCCATAGCAAACACAATCTGACACAAAATTAGAAACCGAAGAAACACCACCATCAGAATCTAACGATCAGGAATTTAACGAAGATGTCCTGAAGCAGGATAGTGAACAAGATTCTGAAAGTACCGATATAAAAGCCAGAAAATTGAATAAAGTTACACCAGAGATGGTAGGAAAATTATCGGAAAATCTAAAAAATGATTGGAAGAAGCTAGCTACGAAATTTGGTTATACAAACGATGAGGTATCAATTTTTTAAATAATACTATAATATGATTTAATAGATTAATGATGGAATTTTTTATATGCGCGATATCTATTTTAGATTGCTTTTTTCGAAAGCAAAACTACGCCGTATGAACAATGCAAGACTATGCTCGAAATATGGGCAGAAGAGGATGAGGATGCGTCGGTTGAGAATTTAGCTTACATTTTAGAAGGTTTAAAATATACAGAAGCTTTAACAGTGCTCAAATCTTAAATATCTTTTTAATTTATTTAACGATAAAAATATAATTGTAACAATCGTAAACTATATACAATTCATGAGAGAATTGTTTGATAATTTTTTTTATTTGTAAAATAAAATCGAATCTTACACATACATTAAACATTTTTAATTTAGATAGATAAAATAAAATCTCAATTATTATACTTAAATTTACATGCTATAATTATAACGAAATTACAAAAAATTTATATTATAATATCAATTTGATATCACAAAATAAAAAGGTATACTACAACAGATTATAAGGTGACGATTGTTTTTTTGTTACCTTTAGAAAGAGAAAAAAGATCATAAATTTATGAGATTAGGGAGAAACACGCTAAGCTTTCTCTAAGATAATTGGAAGAATAATTCTTCTCTAGTTTTAATACTAAATTGAGCACAAAATAACATTATTCATGTTCAATTTTATCACAATTATATTATAATGCTACATTATGTATAATATACTACAATATATGATATAAATTTACACACACAATTTCATTATAATCTTAATATAATTCTACTGTAAATGAAATACAATTATGACTTTCTACTCTAATAATATATAATTTCACATTAATATAATTCTATAATTGTATTACTTTATAATACATTTTTAAGACAAGCAAAGGAAGGAGAGAAAGATTCAACTCGGGAAGAAATTCTTTTTCCTTTTTTATTTAGAAAGACAATAATAAAGTGTACAAATAATACAAAATTTGGAAACGAAACATTTTCAATGCAAACTATATCGAAGGACAATCGATTGCTGCACACACGAGGCATGGGCATGGATTGTGTACATGCCTTAATATACGAAATTCAGGCGCGCGCGCGGGAAAATGCATATATGCTCCGATATGAGCAAATTTTCGTGTAGCAAGACAATAATCTCGTGTGTGTACTTTCTCGGATGCTACGAATTACTACTGACATTTAAAAAATTTCACATATGTAAATATGTACGTAGGAAATATATACGCTAATAAGCATGTGACAACCTAAGTGTACGTATGACAGTTTCACGATCTCTACGTAATTGTAATAAATTAGATTAACGTTAACAGTATACTTCCTTCGAGTTTATAGACACTGACTTAGATTCGATTTATGCTCGGTGTAAAAGCTGGAAATGTTTGAATCCTACAAATGACATTGACAATGAGAAAATAATGATGTACGCGAATAAGAGACACATAAATAATAAATTATTTTTTTTATATAACAATATCGTGAGGCTTCGCTAAATTTTATTTCTTCATGTGCTTTTTAGAGCTGGTGTGGGATGAGATATCGTATGAAATATGGAAGTTGAAGTTACATCAATGATGCAGGACGATTTATCTCAGGATATTTGTAAGTCGTATACAGCTTTGACTTCCAAAAAAGGAATTGTAACAAAATGATTTTTCATTCTTATATTGGTTTGAAAATCTTTGTAACGGTTCTTCTTCCAGGACTTATAAATAATAAATCGATCATGGAAACGATTGATGTATGATTTGACAAGTAAATAATTCTATTTATTTTTATTAACGCATTTGTTAATTTAATACACGGAGCATAAATCTTCAATAGCGACTCATCGTCGTCTGAAATTTCTTAAATCGATGTGTCTCTTACATCTAACATACACACTCAATATGTATCAGCTAAAATGTAAATGCAACTTGATCGCGCGGGTACGAACTTCGTTTAGGTTTATTTAGAGCAGTGTTAGGTAATTATTTATTGTTTATAAACGGTACAGTCTGCATTCGTAGCGCACGTGTCAATCGCAATTGTTTCATCATCAATCATTTGATGGCACATATAATTATGTCAGTTATTTTGTGTTAGAGTATCAGAAACGAGAGATTTACATGAACAATTTGGGATCTGAATTCTAATGCCTCCCTCCCTTCCCTGTACTAAATTCAAAGAAATCAAAATTAAGTTGTTTTGATTTAGCATTAAAGAATGAAAGAAATTATATCAGAGCAATTTAATTTATATTTTGTTCATTTCTCTCACATAAAAAAAACGCGACTAAATTCTCAATTATAAATTCTAAATTACACATCATATTATATTCATATTTATAGTCTTTTCAAAAATATTATAATTAAAAAAATATATTTTATTTTGAGAAAAATATGTGCGAAGATTTTTTAAGCTGCACATAAGTTATGTAATAAATAAAGAAGAAAAGACGAAATAAAAAATTAAAAATGAATTAGCAAACTAAAAAATTAGCAAATTAATTTTCTTTCCTGAAAATTTTTGATTTTTAAAGTTAATACTCTTTCGAATTCAAATCCTCGATCTTTGATAAGTGTTTGCAATGATACGGATTATCGAATCCTAAAAATTATTCGTCTGAATTTTCTGACTTTTGAATAATTAAAAATTGGTGATTGTGTCAAGTCCCCTGACGTGTGTGTGTGTGTGTGTGTGTGTGTGTGTGTGTGTGTATGTGTGTGTGTGTATAGCGTAATAAGAAGAAGTAGAACTAGACAGTCGTTTTCTTTAACGCTTAACGCGGGCCTGAACGAATCGTGCACGCATATGTCCGAGTCATGTCACGTCGTTGACATGACGATCTATAAATATTTTTGGATATTTATATTGTGATGAAGGGATACGCTTAACGAACGTTGAACTGCGACGGCTTTACAAAGAGATGTCCGAACGATCGACTCTCGGTAATGACTGATAGAAGATTGAGCACCCGATAGGAATACTCGATAACGACGAAACACTGACGAATGAGTATCTAGACGATCAGTCTTCTTTTTATTTTTAAGAAAGATTGAGAGAAGAAAGAACTGAGAACGTGGCTGAAGCGAATGATTAGTGTGCTCGCGATGGAAGTATAAGTATAATTATACCTTTAGAATCTCGAAGATAGAATCTTGGGAACAAGATGAGGCGCGTTGCTGCTCGTACGTTATTATTTCGCGATATGTATATCGATATGACGGCAAGTGTGACAAGAGGGTGAGATAATCAAGAGAAAGAGTGTGTGTGTGTGTGTGTGTGTGTGTGTGTGTGTGTGTGTGTATGTGTGTTCAGTATTGCATGAGTTCCTCCAAGTATTCCACATAATCGTTTTCCGTCATCTCGACATCGTCGTCCTCCGGCTGGCTGTCGACACTCCGCCGTCTCCTCCCCATCTCGCTCGTCACCTCGATGCAGAGAAGCGCGAATTTATTGTCGCACGAATATCGCACTTGTTCCAGCAGCCGACCGCCAGTCAACGGCGAGCCCAATCCGTAGCGATCCGAGCTGCTCGAGTGCCAGGCGTCGCAATAAGTGTCCATCGCGCGATCCCCAAGCTTGTGAGAGCCATGCCACGCGATTTTCTCGGGCCTAAAACGCGAGGGACGAAGTCGAATGATCAATCTTAATAAACATCTTTAATAAATGTCATTATCCGTGACCCCTTAATTAGTGCGTTTGTCATTTCAAATTTTATCATTTTCGTGTAATACAAATTAATTAATTATAAAATAAATCAAATTATTAATAATGATAAAATAAATTAAATTAATAAAATTAATTAATTAAAAAAATAGGTCTTTTATATATTTACCATGCAAAGTCTGTAAGAATGTTCTTCCCGTTGAAACTGTAGATTCTGGGATTCTGAGAAAAGTATGCCCCGTTTCCATTGAACATCTCTTTCCAAGAGTTGAATAGGACGTCGCCCTAAATGATTTCGATTTTTTAATAGATTTAATAATTATTTTAATTTATTTTAAAATGTTTGATTTAGGAGAGAAAGTGTCGAACATGTTAATAAATAAATATAATTACCTTTATGTTAACTATAGGAAGATCTCGATCTCCTAATCTGACGATACTATCGACGTTCTGAACTCGAGAACTAAGAAAAGCGCGGAATGTACCTCTCAACCCTGCTCGCTTTGCTTGTCGATAGCAAGCATAATCTGCTCCTCGTATACCATGCATGTCTCCGGTAAATGGCTCATTCAATGCAGCCATTCTCAACTGAAAATTATATAATTCATATGAAATAAATACTTTCAATCTCATCGGATGCACACTAATTAAATTTTACAAACATTTCAATTAAAAAAAAAATATTAGATCTATTATATATTATAGATTTTTTAAATTATTTGATATTAAAAAAATGCGAAGTATTATATTTTCTGTGTGAAAACGGATGAAAAAAATTTCAATTAAATATGGTACAATCTCACCATTCGCGGATACCACTGCGTAGCATGGAAAAAATTGTGAATTATTTTCGAAATTAATAAGATTAAAAATTTTTAACGTATTTTTATTATAAATGTATTTTTTACGCGAGATGAATTCAAGTTTTCAGCTTACCCCTGTTCCATCGGCTTTCACGGGTATCTGATTAATCAAGTTCGATGCTTCGAAGGGAGGATTCGCTGGTGGTGGTGCCGTGGTTGGCGGTGCTGGTGTTGTAATGGGTAAAAGTGATCCAAGCTGAAATTCAATTTTATAAAAAATGTATAGCGCCAAATATTTATTATATTTACAATAATAATGAACTTTGGTACTGACTGCTATGTATTGCCATCCGTTGTTAACTCTAACTAACAATGCTTGTTCGTCTATGATGTAAGCCAGAGTTCCAACTGGACTAACACTAGACATCTGTAATGTATAAATAAAGAAAGTATTAAAAATAGATATTTTCAACGTGCGTGAAAAGATTCGCAAAACTTTACTTTTGTCATGGCTTCTGTATTTTGGAATGTAACAGCTCCTGGCACAATTTTCGTTGTACTTTCTAAAGGCCCCCTTGTAGCGGCAGTGACACCTCCTTGAAGAAAATATTATTGATTAAAAATTGATTAAAAATTGATCTTACAAGGCATTCGAAAGAACGATGATATCTAATTATTATCGTAATTATTTTCATATCACATTAACGTACCTAACTGCTCTTTTAATTCTTTCAATTGCTTGAGTTCACGTAGAGCTTTCAATTCATCCAGACTACTTCTAGGTCCTTGTGATATGCGAGTGTGAAATTTAATTTATATTTGTAAATATTTGGTGGGAATAAAGTATGTGTGCAAGACGAAATAGTATTAAAAATTAAAGAACAGATATCTGTTATTAACAAAATTGTTAGTATGCAATATAAACCTATAATACTCGCATGGATGTCTTAATTAAAATTAGTTGTAATTACTTTTAAACAGAAATCGAAATGGATTATAATCTGTGTTATCGAATTATAATAATTTTTATCGAACTTCTTAATATTTTTACCTTGTCTAGAGCCGTAATAATCCCTTTCACCGAAAACGTGGCTTCTACCGATTCCGGGTTCGCCTTTCTGTCCAATTAAGGATAATCCAGGCGGACCAGGAGGTCCGGGAGGACCTGGAGGTCCTGGAACGGGGATGTATTTTCCTTGGGACGGCGGTCCAGGAGGTCCAGGTGGTCCTGGAGGTCCTCTTTGGCCCTCTCTTCCTGGTTGACCAGGAATTCCGGGAAAACCATCATTTCCTTTATCGCCTTTGATCTAAAAAGGAGATATTTAAATACACATATTTAATTATATTTAATTATTTATAGATTTATAATATTTTACGGTAAACCGTTGATAGTTTTGCGAAGACATCGTATATTTTCGAAGCTATTATTATCGATTCTCTTACGCTTCTTACCGCTTTGACAGACAAGTAGATAGGTTTGTAAAGAATCGGCAAGTAGTAAAGTATTGCCAGGAACAGAAACGGTTGATTTATCGAAAACACTGAAGAATGAGATGCAACGATCGCTTAGGCGCATCACGTCGGCTTTCTGTCGACGTTCCTTCGTTGCGTTCTTTTTCACGAATGTTTAGCCGAGACGGTTTATATGCTGGAGAGGCGCGAGAGGCATCCTCGATCGTGAGAAGACGATATCGGAATTTTCTGTTGCCCGACCGTGTGATCGCTCTTTCTCAAAGAATAATATATCTTTGTCGTTATCAATGTTGCATTATGCCCTTAGAAAAATGATGGATATCTCGAGCATTTTTATCGTTATCTGTTTATATTTTGTAATGTTATGGAATTTCCATTAAGATTCCATCCAGAAAGATTTATGTTTATTACATTTACTAGATCTTTGCGATTTCTTAATGACGGTTTTATTAGAAATTCTGCGTAAGAATAGGATGCTTCAGATAACGAAAAATATTTTAAGAATTCCTTGACGGATTTTGTCATCTTTCTTCTTAATTTCCAACATAAAATTATATCTTCAGATAAAATTCTCATTCTCTTCAAATAAAATTGACATAAATAAAATCAAGAATTGTAAAATAAAGTTCCGTTTTCTATTTTTATTTGTGAGAATAGAAGCTTTTATTTAAGATATTATTTAAGGCTTTCTTGAAAATTCTATTTTGAGAAAGGATTGATTTCATAAAAATCTATTCTAAAATTATTATTTTGTTAAACGTTCCGTAAAAGTTGTAAAATTTTGTGATATATAATTTTTGTTCTATTTAGTGTGCAATTGTTGAGTCGCTTTACATGCTTTGTAATACTGAAAAAAATTGTAACATTTAAAGAGATTATTATATTTTCAGATACATATGTCTGGTTGAATACGTTGCCAACAAACCCAAACTCGCGAGACGCCGTATATCAGTATGCGTTATTTGTCAGTTGTCGGTTGTGACAGCTCGTGAAACTCTGCTCGCGTCGCGACGGAGAAAATTTCAGTTTGGCGCAACGAATAAATCCAGCGATGAAGACGCGAAAAAAAAAAATACGCACGCACGCCAGATGCAGTCCTACATTAATTTCCATCATTCGCATTCCGTCGCCTGTTGTTCAAAGACTTTCGCATCGTTTCATTTATAAAAGAAAGAGATATATATATATATATATATATATATATATATATATATATATATATATGTGTATCCTGTTACTTTAATTTGTCAGACCACAATCACGCGAGAGGAAGAGAAAAACGAAAAAATCATTATCTTAATTTCCGCTGCATTTTTTTCCTTTTTTCGAATAAAAGAGGAGTTTCTTGTTCTCGCTGCTCGGAGAAACGACTGACGGGTCACTTAGTGTGAGATTCCCAAGCGATTCGCGGTTTGACTTTTCGCTCTTGATTTTCACTTCTTAGCGGCCACTTAGATTTATATGTAAAGTTCGCGCGCGCGAGAAATTTACACGGCCCCGATACCACGTCGGGAAACTGCAAGTTATACTTACACCGACGGAAACACCGTAAGGGCTCGGTGCGCCGGGCTCCCCCTTTTCTCCCTTGGGTCCCATTGGTCCGATACTTCCTGGAATTCCAGGTGTCCCAGGACGACCCTGCGGAAGACAGTGATAGATGAATCGCTCGTTTAGATTTTAATTAGTGCGGAATTCGCTTTTATCGTATTCGATACAATCGGACGATTTATTTTGATGTGCATGTTTAATAAATGTTTATTTATTCAATTATTAAATTTATTCATTTTATGTAAGAATATACTATATATAAGAAATTACTTATACTTATATTTATTTATATAAATTATTTATATTTATTCCAAGAATTATAAAAAAGATTGTATGATATTTCTAATACACATCATTTAATATAGTTGTGTAATTATAAGGCTCACCTTCATCGTATTCTTGGGTTGGCATTGTAAAAGAAATAAAAAGTATTGTTTAGAAATAAAATATTTTAAGATAATATAGCATGACAAACACAAATATTTTCTTGATATACATTTCTCGATTACATTGCTATATGGAATAATATGAAATACTAATATTATTATAACAATGGTTATGTATTATACAAATAATATTAATTACTATCAAAAATCATATATCAATATTGCCATATAATTATCGTCGCATAATTAGTATTGCTAATAATATAAAGTGAGATGATGTAAATAAATAAATTGCGATATATACGTACCATCCATCCTGGTAGACCGATCTCTCCCATAGTTCCTGGTTTTCCGGGAGGACCCACAGGGCCGGGCGATCCAGGTCGTCCTCTCCTGCCCCGTTTTCCTTCGGCGCCTTTCTCGCCTTTGATAGTGATATAGTCGCCGGAATTAGCAACAGTAGTGGCTCCAGGAGGACCTCTTTCTCCTCTCTCGCCCTTAGAACCAGGTATGCCGGGTAATCCTGATATCCCGTCCTTGCCAGGTTCGCCTTTATCTCCTTGAGGTCCTTGAATACCATTTATTCCAGGAATACCAGCTGGGCCGGCATCGCCCTTATCGCCTTTCTCGCCCTTCGTGCCCTTATCGCCCTTATATCCGCGCGCTCCAGTCTCTCCTTTGTCGCCCTTTGTGCCGAATCCTTAATTAAATAACATTTTCAACGTTATATATTGTCACCTTTTATCTCGACATAATAGATATTGAACTTTTTCATCGTAAAAAATTGTTAAAAACTTCACTAATCCTTGTTATGATGGAAAATAACACACACACACACACACACACATATGTGTGTGTGTGTATATATATATATATATATATATATATATATATATGTATTTGATAAAATATTAGCAAAAATGGAAATTTTTTTACATTTTTGTTTAACAATTTTAAAAGTTTATGCCTCTCTTTTATTATAAAATAATTAAAGATAAATAGTAGAAACATAGATAATAAAAAATAGAATATCTTTCTTGATATGAATTATTATTTGTTTTGTTAGATAATTTTATTCAATGTCTCATTAATATCAAATTAAGTTTATTGCAGCTGAAGATTAATAAAATAAATAAATAAAATTAATAAATCGTAGTAAAAAAATTGGATATTTTATATAAAAGATTATAATCAATATATAGACGTGGAAGAAATAATAAATAGGTAAATAACAATAAAGTAATATTAAATTTTGTGCACGAAAACGGGAGACATATTTTTGGAAAAAAGTCTTTAAGATTACTGACCTAGATCCCCTACATTTATCCCACCGGGACCATTTGCACCAGGTGGACCGGGTGGTCCTGGAGGTCCTGGTTTGCCTTCAGGTCCTGTATCGCCCTTATCGCCCTTCTCCGCCGGCCGTCCATTCTCGCCGGGTGCACCAGGCAGACCTGGCGCGCCAGCTGCGCCTGGTTCACCCTTGAAACCTTGAATTCCTTTGGGACCGTCCTTCCCGTGGTCACCCTTGGCACCCTTGTGCCCTGGCTCGCCCTTGATACCCTTAGACCCTGGTATTCCAGCCTCGCCTTTAGGACCGGGGTTTCCTGAGATGCCTGGTTCACCCTTCTGTCCTGGGAGTCCTGGCCTCATTGTGATACCTCCTTCCGTCTAGATCCGACGACGATTCAAATAAGCCATTTCCATTATGTTAAATAATAAGAATTTATTTTAATGAAATTGCATAAATATTGTTTTTAGCATCTTATAACTTGAGACGGGAATTTCGAGTATCGGGAAAGGTATTCGCGGTTCAATCAGGGAATGCTCCAGTCCGTACTCACCCTGTAAATATTTCGAGGTTTCCAACTAGGCTGCATGCGCATAATAATCGAAATTTCCCTATTAGATCGTTGGAATAACGTTGCGAAACTGAGAGCTTCGTGGACGGCCCAACATTGCCCAACATTACCCTCCATGCGTTTACATTGCCATTGATTAGAAACAAATGATTGTTGCGTGAACAATCGTCAATGGCACGTGATTCACGATTGCTTCAGCGTAAATCGAATCTCGCCGAGAATTGTAAGTGCAAATTTTATTCTTAAATGCACGAGTTTCCTACGCTCGCTATGTGATTTGAATCCTTTCAAACGTAAAATTGATTTTCAGACATACAAAAAAACGAAAAAGGAAATTTTCTCTTATCGAATGAAATTACGTTTTGATTTTCTAGAGAATATAGTATGCATGTGTGTATTTAGAAAATAATAATTATTAATAAAGATAATGATTATATATACACTTTAAAAATACAAAAACTTCAGAAAGATCGCTAAGGATTTAAGAACAATCTTGTTCAATCTTATTCGATCGCGATAAAAATTAAAAATCTCAATATCGCTGTAATATTTATAGCTCTCTTATTTTTCATATTTTCTCACGTTTAAGACAATTTTGCCAAAAAAGAAAAAATTAATTATATTATTGATCAATAAATTGCGATGTATTGCAATGATGCAGGTCATTGAATAAAATAGAAATACGTTCGTGTGTGTAGAAAATAATTTCTCCTAAGATTTTTCTCCTATATCGTCCGCTTTCTCTGAAAGACGATTATTCTCTTTTTCGCATTAGTATGACGTCCTGCTATAAATCATGTCGTCGCGATTTCTGTATATCTATATATCAATGCCACCGTTCATCGTTCGTCATATCCATTCAGACCTTCTCGCGAATAGTTTGAAACTTTTAGACTTCTTTGACTATTGATAGAATAGCGATATATATGTATATATATATATATATATATATATATATATATATATATACAGCTTCTTTTTCATCTTCTACATTCGACTACATCAATGTTCATATATATATTTATGATTCTTATTTTTATAAATTTATCAAAATTATTTTCGCGTTCTATTATGTTATTTTATTTCTTTTACAATAAATTTATTTTACTTATTATTTTATTTATTTACCATTTATTTTATTTATTTTACAATAAATGGAGCGTTATCAAAAACAATTTCATATGTACTTAACAAATATCAACAATATTAACTGATTCAATTAACATAGGTTTGCTTTATAATTCATTAACATTTAATATTAATATTGTACTCTATATATTCAATGTACATTCAAATTTGTAAATACAATTAATATCTAATAAAGAGAAAGAGAGAGAGACCTCGTTTGCTAAAATATTTTAGCTGATTTAAGATAATTTAATACTTCAAAACATAAAAAAGAAAAAAGTAATTTCATAGTTAATAAAAGATATCATTTTCATTTCTAATTATCTGAAAACTTTTCGATATTTTGGTGAAAAAATAGATTCCAATTTATCAAAATATTTTCAAGTCAGAAACTATAATATTGTATATAAAATGAATATCTTTTTGTCGGAATTCGATGGCACTCCTCACTCGTATCGGGAATATTCTGCGCGCCTATAAATCCGCTTCTGTTTTAAAGTAGTTCTCTCCGGCTTTAATACGATTCTCGAATTTCCTCTCCTCCATTCAGTTTCCATTCATACAAATATTCCGAGCCGCGGCGAATTCACTGGGAAACATCCGCCGCGAAACCGATCGGCGCGCGAACATCTCGATGCACGCACATTGAAACGCGCGAAAGCACCTCGATCGAGCGTTACCTATCGTCTCGTCTCTTCAACGACGTAGGTACTCGGATGCAACATCTCCGAGCATCTTCCTTCCTTCCTACCTAGCGCACACCTAGCCGGTGTGCATGCAGTAGCACAGCCTAGAAATTGGTTTCTGTATTCCCCGGGGAAATCGAGCTCTTGCACATCCAGAGGAAGGACCGGCGAGGGGGCGAGGTCACGTAAGATAACCGTTGTCAGTATGTGCGTGTGTCTGTCCTCGCATGAACTGTCTCGACGACAGGCTTTGGTCTTTGATCCTACCGTGAATATTTCTTGCCGTGTTCTTGTCAATATGTGCGTATGTGTGAGAGCTTGTGTTCTAAATCGTTCCATTTTAGTTTTGCATCTTCGCGATCGATCGCGCAGTTTTGCGGAGTGGAGACACATGAAATTGTTTTTGCGATTAAGCTATTTACGGTCGAAATGGTAAATGCTCCTTATTGCTTCTGTGCAATATTTTAAAAAAGATTCTAAATGAGCTAGCATTCAAAATAATACGAAATCAAAATCGGAATAATTATTATCGGAATAATAATTAATAAATATTACATATTAATCATATACAAAGGATAAACCAAATAATGTGAACAATAAAAATTAATATTAATAATTTATTATAAATATAGAATCATACAATTTTTGAATAGTCTCTAGTGTAATATTATTCTATTCTTCTTATTATAACAATAAAATATTCTTCTTATTAAATAATGCCATTTTTCAAAATGATTACACAGCTATTCAATCTTGATTTGAACAGCATCGAAATGAACTTCAACATCTTCTCTGGCCAGCAACAATTACCCGATTTAAATATCATCAAATCACAAGCAGATATTTTGATAAAGGACAATATTCCTGGATTATTCAATAATTATATGATTCTATTCCAAGGAGAATTAGAGCTGTATTAAAGGCAAATGGTGGCCCGACACCTTATTAACAAACAAATATAGTCTTTTTTAAGTGTCCATATTATTTTATTTATCCTCTATATATACAAGTTAAAATGCTGTGATATTTATAAAAATATAGATAGGACCTAAATACATTTTCTAAGTTTGTTAACAAAGACTTAACTTAGTTTATTATGACTTTAGCTTATTCAAGATAATTTAATATTTTAAATCATAAAAAGATATGTTCGTAGCTATTAAAATATATCATTTTCACTACTAATTATCTGAATGAATTTCCGATATTATTATAAAAAAATATTAGATCACAAATTTTTGAGAGAAAAAATGTACTATTAAAAATAACACGACAGCAATGGAATGTGTACATCTGACATATCGAATTTTAATTTAGAGTTTTTTTTATACTTTGTCGAGTCAAAAAAATATGTTTGTGCGGTGATTCAAAAGAATATTTCAACATATGAACGATCTTGACATTTTTATAATTCCATGACATTACAAATTCATATCTCAAAAACACTTTCATGAGGTGTTTTTAATATAACTATGATATGAATTGATAAAGTCAGGTGCAATATTGTAGAGAATATGAAAAATAATTTTTCAAAAGTATGTTACTGAAAAAAATTAAAGTTTAAAAATATATTTAGCTTTATTTATTCAGAGTAGTTGATAGCATATTTTTATTTAACTATTTATTATATATTTTTTCAAAAGTTGTATTTTCTAACACATTTATTATTCCAGTATTAATAAAACAAAATATTTGAATTTCCTCACATGAGAGTGTCCAAATGTCACTTGATATAAAAATCAAAAATATATAGTTTATGAATAGCTAAGTAAATTCATTTCTTATTTTAATCTTCGAATTTTTATTCTTTAACCACTTATACATGCACGTGTATATAAAATACAAATTAAAAATTAAAAATTAATAATTTAAAAATTAGTTATTTGAAACATTAAAATATTACTACATTAATTATTATTTTTACGTTAGAAATGTTTCTAAATTACTCTCCTGTGATGACTGGATTAATGATCACGGAATAAGATTAACAAAACATGAGAATGGCGTATGGAGCCGACAATCTGGAACATAACGACTTGGACGCTATCCGTGTGGTTTCTTGGGGATCTTTATCAATGGAATACAGCTGGTGCTAACGGGCATTAAACAGCGGCGCATCCCTATTGTCACAACGCGTATCTTGCGCTCTGTAAGTAACAACCTGGATATCCGACGATGTAGGTTGTTGTGCGTCACGCGACTTGTAGTTTTCCTCAACTCTCGAGCAAAAGCTGAAAGCTTGCCATTTCGTTACCTCGTAAAGACGCATGTCTCGTTTATAGTTTGTATCTGAAGCGATATTACCACAGCATGGAAATATATATCGCGTATACAATGGATAGAGTGTAATCTAATTCGCAAAGTTATCATTCTCTCCGTTAGATTGCAACGTGGTAAATTATATACAGGGAAAAATGTGTAGAAGCAAGATACAACAAGTATCCTTAATTTGAAATATCCTTATAATTTTATATTCAAAATAAAAATATCAATATCCATTTTTCTAATATTTATTTAAATCAGAAGTACTTAAATAAAATAATAAAATATCGGAAATATAATATCGAAATAAAATCGATAATAATTGAAATTAAATTGATAATATCGAAATAAATAGAACCATTTTCGAGAGCATCATATCGATATCTATATTACCTTACATATTTCTAAAAGAACAAGAAAAATAAAATTCGAAAATGCCATAGGGATGATATTGGATATATCAAATTGAATGCTGAAAAAATGTACAATTTAATCGAAAAATTTTGCTGGCATGTGGCTAGTATTTTGGTATTTATTGGGTTTATTCGTCGCAATATATTGTAAAGTTAAGGTGTGCATTATTATTCTATCATTTTACAATATCTATGATTACGATGACAGGAAGCTTCCGGTATTTCTCTCAGCTTCGAGAGTAATGAGATTTTTTTCTCCGTGGCGAGATGTCTCAACAATTACTAGGCTGGGTTAATCCTTTTTTTCCCTCGCCGGTGTAACATTTGGAAACGTGCCGCTGGCACGAAAACAGAAAATTGTAACGCAAGAGGGGCGAAGGAGGGCACTCTCTGTATTCTCTCCCTTTTCTTTTTTTCTCCACGATCTTTCTCATAGCCGAGTATGAGGGTGGGATAAATATTGCGTCACCACACGACCGATCTTTTTCAACGGTATGCGGGCGCATCTGCATCACACGGGCTTGTGTCGTGGATAAAGCGGGAGCGATGCGGTCCGATAAGCGCGATGCGATGCGATACGATGCGATGCGATGCCCTCCTCTCTGCCACTATATTTCCGCGCGCGGAATTTTCCTCCGTATCAAGAGAGAATCCCATAACAAGAGAACAAGGTGAAAAACGACCGTATCTCCGGGGGTAAATTGACGGTTTGAGGCGCGACAGGATCGTTACGTTCCCGCGACAGAAACGGAGATTTCTTTTCCCACCCGTGGCCACAAGCGCGTTTCACGATTTGGACCTCCCCCGCTGACTTTGACAGCGTGGAATATCAATCTTAAGTGGATTTAACTCGTTTCGCGAGATAGCTGCTGTTCTCCGAGCGTTGCCGAAACGAGTATCTGTTCGAAGAGAGTTGTTGCGAGTTTAAATCGGGAACATCGCACAAGATAATCGGGACGCTGAAAGTAACGGAATATCGGAAAGGGGATTAAACATTTTCAGAAGGTTTTCGGATTTTTTCATAGAAATCATTTACTAAGCAATTTATATACTTATTTTATTTATACCAATGTCATATTTATTTATTATTATTATTTATTATTATTTATTATTATTATTTCAATGTTATTATTTATCTTATTTATATCAATATTTCGAGGTCGTATTAATTACATTTACAATAGAGTGATAAAAAATAATACGATTATTTTTTTTTTTTCATATATATGCACTATTTCTTTTTCTTACTTTTTCGCTATCAATCTAGTTTTCTTTCGTACTTCTTGAAACGTCATAGTTACGATGGAGAGCGGAAATGCTGCAACTACGCTCCGTTGCGCAAGGTCGGGAAGAGAGAAGAGTTTATTTATCGGGAAAACCGGAAAAATTCAAGAATTTCTCGGGCTATGTAGCACATCTCTGTGAGGCGCATCGCTCATATGCAGAGAGAGTTCTCGCTAAAAATTTTACCGCCATCAATATCGCGCGTATGCAGATGTACTTGCGTGCGTTACAACGTTTTAATATCGTGGACCCCCTGTCAGCGCGATTCGTAACTATTTTCCGTGGCTGGCAAAAAGTTGAGTGAGACTCCGGGCGTTGGTTGTTAAAGATGGATCAGGATAAATTGCGACGCGAATGAAAGGTAAGAGAGAGATACAAAGATAGAAATAGAGAGAGAGAGAGAGAGAGGAAGAGGTTGAGGAAAAGAGAGAGAGAAGGCACAACGGGAAACGAAAGAACGTGTACGAGAAAAGGGAGGAGGTTGAGGGTCGGACTTACAACTCGACCGTTATTACGTGCACGGTTTCTTATTCCCCGAGGGGCGATACGCGTTCCATTTCCATTCAACGAATTTCTTGTCGCGTCGTCCTACGACGGGGAGGTAGGATCGCTGGTAGTCATTCCCATAGATGTAAAAGCGGCTGCACGAGGGAGCAGTGCATTTTCATGCACTTCGAAACGTAATAGTGTGGATAATACTGCAATAATAACTCGTTTTCTCGATAACCGGACATAAATTGGATACTCGCATTCTTTTATGAGAGTAACGAGACTTCATACATGATTAATGTAATAAATGTCTGATAAAACGATGTACATACCTAATTACTATTGCACAATCACATTTCCTGATTTAAATTCATTGCACGTTTAAAACTTGCATTGCACTGTTTTTCAAAGAAAAGAACAACTCGAATTTTTATCATACGAGATTTCCAATTAATCTTGAAGCTACTTCAAAATTCAGCAAATATTTTCTCTTGTATGTACCACCAATGATCGAAAGATTTATATAAATATTTTTTATACAGAATGATCGTTTTTATATAAATAAATAATTTTATAAACATTTATTTATTATATATATATATATAAAATATATAAATGTTTATAAAATTATTTATTATATATATATATATATATTATATATATATATATATATATATATATAATTTATAATTATATATTAATATATATATATATATATATTTATATATATAATTTTTATACATAATGATCATTCGCAAATATAAATAAGATATTATTAATTGAAATATAATTTGTTGAGTTCATGCATCAAATGAGATATTTATGGCGTACGTTTAATAATAAATTCGACAATTTCAGAGAAAATATGGCCTCTATTTCCTTGCAGTCCGAAATATGTAATAATGTGTAATCATATATTGTAATAATAATTGCTATTTCTGGATAATCGAATATAAATTGGATATTCGTACTATATTATAAGATCGTGATTTATATAATACATGATTAATATAATAAATGTAATGTTCGTCTATTAAAACGTATATCTATCATTATTACGCAATCACATTTCTTGAATTCATAAATTCATTGCACATTTAAAACTTGTATTGCATCGTTTTCCAAGTAAAAAACTCGAAGTTTTATCATACGAGACCAATTAGCCTTGGAAAAAGTCACTTCAAAATTCAACAAATATTTTCTCTTGTATAAATCTTCACAAATACTCAAAGGAATGTTTATCCAAGTAATTTTTATATACGTATAATGATCATTCACAAATATGAATAAGAAATCATTAACTGAGAGATATAATTTGCTGAGTTCATGCACCAAATGCGATATTTAAATGACATACTTTTTGATAATAAGCCCGACGATTCCACGAGAAAAGATATGGTCTCCATTTCCCTCCGAATTTCTCGTTGCCGCTCGTGTCCGTTTCGGGAAAATAGCGAATAATACGACTGAGCTAGATTCATACGCGGATAATGAAAATTTCTTGAATGAAGATACTTATCTGCTTATTATAGCGACGATTTCGTACGGTCGGGCGCACTTGAATTTCCGCTACTTCGCAGTAATCGCGTACACAATAAATGTTCTTCTCTAGCGAGAATTCTTCAATGTCATGTTCCTCGTGTTAACATTTTATCGCATCCCCTTTTCCTATTTTCATTTTCATATCGTTCTGCTATATTTAGCAGAAACCGTCATTTAACCGAACATTCAATTTGCTTTCGTTATCTTGCCGCTTGTCATTGGATAATTTTAATAAAAATTCTTATCAAGTTTTTCATTTTACAAGAATGACAACTTTGTCATTTGCTCCGTTGCTAAATGTAAATATCTCGTTATACAGTTCACATAAGCTTATTTAATGTTACGTCAGATTATAATGCTACTATAGACATATAGTTGAAAAAACATGGAGCTTTTTTATAAGTTAATAAATTATAAAAAGAATAAAGTTTTTCATAAACAAGCATCCTCAGTCACAAGACGTTACAAGAAGACCACTTCCGTTACAACAGCTCCCGCGGCTATTGGTGAGTCGATGATAATAGAAAGCAAATAATAACGATAATAATGAAAAGAATCTCGACGGAAGTTTTATGCAGATTGCAACTTGTCGCCGGAAATAATGGGCATAAAGAAAATCTCATGAGGTGAGCAGAAATAGTGAGCGCAAGCCGCGGGAGAAACGCCGGGGAAAATATTTTAACTCGGCTTTCGGCCTCGGTATGACAGATCATATTCAGGCATAGTAATCTACTTACGTCATAGCTAGAAAATTCTCCTTTCCCAGGCGGTCCCGGCGGACCCTGTGCGCCCTTTTCGCCAGGAATTCCATCGCGACCCGGTTCGCCCTTTTGACCTTGGGGACCTTCCGGACCCTGTATTCCAATATCACCCTTGTCACCTTTCGCTCCGAACGGACCGGGCAAGCCTCTTTCCCCTGGCTGTCCTGCCACACCCTGAAATCGTGATTACATTAAACACGCGATTAAGCACAATGATACGGCATATCCGCAAAGAATTGAAACGCTAGAGATTGATATAGTTTTAAAACGAAATGTGATTAAACTTAAAACATGAAAAGAAAGACAGAGAAAAAGAAAATCGGGTATAATAAATAGTTTATACTAATCTAATGATACTAGCAATTACTGTGTTATGTTTGTTTTCTACGATGTAAAGATATCACAATTATTTTACCTTTTTGCCATAGATTAAAAGTATATGTATAAGTGACTATACCATTTTCTAGCGCTTTGATTGATAACACAGAATATCACAGAATATATATAGACAAAAATCGCTACCGTGAGACCCATCAAGCCTTGCTTGCCCTCTTGTCCCGACACTCCTGGCTCACCCTTCGGTCCTTGTATCATCTTTGGCATCGTAAAAGAAGACATTAAGGCCGTAGCATTACAGATGCAAGTGCCAGGATCTCCTTTCTGACCAGGTGGTCCCTGTGGTATCTTCATTAGCCAATCCTTTAAGAAAATCGATTTATTCCGTACTGTCATCGTAATTTATAATTTTACTTTATTAAATCAATTATATATTCAATTAATATCAATAATATATATATATATATATACATATATATATATATATATATATATATATATAATTTTATTATTTGTAAGTATTAGAAATTATTTTTATGTACTTTAGTGATATAAAAAATAAAGATATATAATTTGCAACAGATACAGAAATAATACATTAAATTATTAATAGTAATGTCTTATATAATAATCTGACAGTAAAGAAATTCAAATAGTAAAACGAAAAGTAGTATTAACGATCACGCTTTTACACTTTCTTTAATTTTTTTCTTCTTCAATTTAACTTTTATGTAACTTGTCATTAACTTCTTACACGGCAATATAATTAAATTTTAATAGTACCTAGAAGCGGGTAAATATATACTATATGCACGCGCGTATATTGCATACTAAAATAACGGCGGAAGATAGTAAATACCGTGAAAGCGATTTTGGTTGTAATCAGTGTTACATGCGACAGGCACCGGTTCTCTAGCGTCGATGCTAAATTGACTCATGCGAATAACAAGATAAATGAGTGATCCCGGATTCAGGAGTATTCAGACTGCCTTCAATATCGTGCCTGGCGCTTGGATAGTTGCGGATGCGATCGCGGTCCCTACAGTTAATTTAACGAGATGTTTACACCACTATATGAGAAAACAGATATTTCTTCCATTAAGAAAATTTCAAAAGAAATCAATATTGCTGTATGTGTGACGAATACGATAAAATAAAATATAATTTAACAGACTAGTCTATAAATATAAACATATTTTTCATAAATTTTTTTAAATCAAATAAAGTATAATTAATGAAATAAGATAAAATATAATTTATTTCTTATTGTTAATCAATGAAATGAATTTTTCTAATTATAAATAATTTATTTCATCTCATTATCTTTTTTGTTCTACTTAAAATAGAATATATATTTATAAATATTGATTGTTATATTTATAAATTTATAAACAGATAATCCCAATATATACAGATAGTCACAACACACATACGATGAAATAAAAAGAAATATATTTTTCATTAGAGTAAGTTAATATAAGTTCTTAATATAAGTGCTATTACCATTTTAAGTGTGATCGATATGTTATTTAATGACTCAAATATATCGGTTTAGAAATTATTAAAAAAAGAAATAAAAAAATATCGAAAAATGAATCAATAAAGAAATGAATCGTTTCTTTATGGCCATTTGTAATTAGTCTATAAAAAAGTCTTGATTGAATAATGCACCTCATCGCGACCAGGTGGGCCCGGAGGTCCAGGAGGACCTCTGACGCTCTCCCCTTTGTCGCCTTTGTCGCCCTTTTCGCCTTTGGGTCCTTTATCTGAAAAAAAGAACGAATATGTGTCCGTAAGTCGCAACTTCGTCACTTTTTATTTTGACACGCCGGGGTGATTTATGCGCGCGAAAAGTAGATTAAAAAAGTTTGCTTCATATTTTATCATCGTTTCTTCGACGCGATACCTCCAAAGTCGACGGTGCACATCGACATCAGCTATGGCGAAATTAATAAACGATTTTTCTAACGCGCCGTCCCATCTTTACTAGGAATATCAGATTTAAAAAAAAGAGGAAATATAATATTGATGTTCCGGTGCATTAATTAATTAAAAAACTGTTCGATTATCTCAAAACATCGTTACGATACATTTAACGATAATTTGAATAACCTCAGTATATGATTTTTGCAAGCTATTATATGATAGATTGGAAAAATATTATGAATATAATAAAAAAAATAATAAAAATATATTCGATCGCAAAAAAATCGATACAAAAATTTATTTTACATGCTTTAATTAAAAGAGGAATTAATACATTTTAATAAATGTATACATGACAGATAAATTGTATCGTGCTAATTGTGACAAGAAATCAAAAGATGAAAACATCGAATAAATAATATCAATTATTTGAAATGAAAAATATTGATGATAGATAATTTTAATTAATTTAGATCATTAAATAGTAATAATTAAATAGTAATAAAGCTCTCTTAATTAATAAAATAAAATCATTCAGATAGGCATAGAGAGCTGGAGGTCATTATTAGTCGGGAATTATACAGATTAAATAAAAGTAAACATTAATAGGTTAAAAATTTTAGATTTAATAATACATCGATGTTTAAACAATTTAGGAGCGGACGTTTCGACTTATATTTAAGTCATCTTCAGCGCATGTTAATTCACGGATTTGATTTTATTTAATTTAGATCAATCCTAATGTGTCAATAAGACAGGAATAATTTCGTAAATCAGTCATTTTCCATATATCTAATATTTACACGAATGAAATGGCAAAGATTGTTGGGACGCTTCATTCACGATATATTTTTACTGTCATATTTTACGAACAATTAAAGACTATCGTTATCGCGATTAATATTTGATAACTTTACTTACAATCTGGATTCGGAGGTGGAGGCGTGATGAATGGCGGCGGGTTACTCTCCTCGCTTTTGTCTTCGTCCGCATCCCGACTGATCTGAAAATGTATTATAGGCAATGCCGATAAAATCGGATTACTCCATCCTGTCAGCGATACATAATAGGACGATTATCGTAGTCGTCACCGTCGATTGCCAATTCAGGACTTGAGGCAGGCGTGCGAATAACAAATACAGCGTAAACATTATTTACAACATTGGGTTGCGACGAAAATAGTTAAACAGCACGGTGGTTTATCGATCGTTTGCTGATTAGTTATTTTATATGCAAATTACAAGTATATATATATATATATGTATATATTGTGTAAACTACAATGTTGAAGCGACACGCGGCAATGTGTCGACCGTTTTTGATTAGCTTCGCGAAAGGGCGCCAAATATTTGCGTAGTGCTTGTATAACGTCATTGAAATTCATGAAACTAACGTTAACGGAAACTTTCGAGCCCTGACAAGAAACGAGAATCAAGATCGACCTAAAATGAGTTTATAATTATGTACAAATAGTAGATGAAATTCAAGAATCCAGAGACACGATAAAACATAAAAGAGACTAACACACACAATACATACCTAAATAAGAAATGAAATATTGTTATTAATACATATGTGTGTATTATGTATTTATGTAACGAGACAATCTTATATGCGATATTTTGCTCGTATGTCTCATCGTGTCCCGATCCGAATCTTGTCATGGCCTGCTGTCGCAAATTATTAGCTAGTAGTATAAATGATCGCATGCGCCAGTTGTGAACAATGCAATGCCCAAGTAAAGTTCTCCAGACGTGATACCGGACCTGTCTTGTACGTTAAAAGCGAATAATACATCAAGCAGTGACGGTGATTAATGAACTTCCAAGCCAATCAGGCAGTATGGTTAGCACACATGACACCAGCCCTAAGTATTTTCCGATAATTATCGGTAACGACGGCGCTTTATCGGGCTGAGTCGACGTCCGGTTAGGATTTTTCGTCGATCGAACGCGTTCTTGCTTGCATCACAAAAAATATCGTTCCCAATTTGCGCCACGAGAAATCTGTCAATTTGCTTAAATTCATTGAAATTACAATCTTGAATTTAAAAAATTTTCTTATATCTGAAGATACATAATATATTAATATTATATGAAAAGAGAGATATATAATACAGAAAATATATTAATTAAGATATATATATTTTATGATATATATATGATGAGTATTAAATAATTTACGATATATGTATAATAATTATTGAAAATATACAATATTGAAATATTATATGAAAAGAGAGATATAATATTAATATATAAAATATATTATTTAAACATTAGACACGTTAATTACACAAGATTGAATATTAATATAGTTCGATGAGATTTTAAAATATCTTACCTTCTGTATGTTTACATAATTTTCATAATTTATTCAGGAAGCTTTCAAGGGTAAATTGATTCATTACTTAGTAAAAACATGAGAGTACAGATTGTCTAATAATTAATTATTTATAAAATTTAAAATGCAATACGATATTTAAAGTGAGTCGTATAAATGATACAACTTGGTTTATAATAATTATAATCTGCATCATTTATATGCAACATATATATATAAATTCATCAAAGTCTATATGCAAATATAAAAGCGTTAAAATAATATTTATTTGGTACATCTTTACTTTCCAAAAGAAACGCGACAAACATCTCACATCCAAAAAACGTAAGTAATACTAATAATTCAGTTTTAAAATGCTCGATTCTATCTCTTCGCGGAATTATTCGCGGCCACTTATTATAACGAATGTGCAGAAAATTTAATATTTTTAAATATTTTTTGTAATCTTTTGCAATCAATTATTTTTCACAAGCTAATACTTTTTTGTTCGATTGCCAAATATTTTTTTCGAAATGATTCAATGAAAGGAAATTTTTCACACCAGATCGTATTTCTCGTCACAATGAAGATTCTGATTTTTTTTTTGAATACGGATTTTGTGAACATTTTTTTTAACGGTTCCGTTGCGTATTCGAACGTCACCGACACGTGCGTGCGTACGAACAAAAAACGCATTCGTCGCATCTGTTGCGCAATTGCAATAACGCGTAGTATCGAATAAAACAAAAAGAGCACTCTCAGCATCAGGTATGGAGCTATCCCCTGGCTTGCATTTATTGCACGCGGATTCGCTTATTTCACGTTGCGGTGGATTTATAATGTCGCATTTTTAAATGAATGCCATTTATTATTAAGGGCATAATGCAGATTATTTATGATTACACAGCGCATTCATGCAACCGGAATTTAGAAAATAAAATAATAATGATAATGCACGAGCGAGCATTACGGTAATTATAACGGGAGGTTATATAAAATAATGTACCTCGTTATTATATCTATTTCAACCCGAGCGTTGCACAAAGAAAACATTTCGGAACGCTAAAATAATCGGTCGATTGTTACACTTTTCCCTTTGTTCGAGACAACGTGCTCTTTTATTTATTAAAAATAATAATGCAAAGGTCCACAAGATAAATCAATCAAAAATATAAATAAAAGGCTTAAAGGACCAACGCAGAGATGACTGGTTGCGAAAAATAAAATTAAAACGGTTATCACAGAAATGTTCTAATCTATCATATTCCGTTTATTATAATAACGATATACGCGCGTTTCGACCATCTTCAGGTCCTTATCAATATCAGTAATCAAAATAAAAATAACAAATATAAAGACAAAAAATAATACATGATGTAAAATCAAATGAAGTGAGCTGTCAAACGACGCAAACAATAATAAATAATAATAAAACCTTGAGAAGTCAAAAAAGTCGATATGTTCTCGCAACTTAACGGATGATATTTAAATGCGGCAAGCAAAACGCAACAACGCAAATAAGCGGATACGCAAATCCGCACCGCAGCAATCTCGCTATGCCCTCAACAAACGCCATGATCCCCTCGATGAAAAAATTCAATCCAGAAAGAATCCCGCCTTGAGTCCAACATGCATCTCAAAGATAAACAACCGTCAAAGATGCGTAGGTCCATTACAGGCCAAGTGATGCAATGGGCAACAATGCGTTAGGATAATTCTAGATATCTATATAAAAAAACCAGACGGAAATGAGCTCATAAACACAATTAAATTATAACAAAATACTACCCGATTAATGAGACGAGACTACTAATATAATGAAAAAACTGTTATAAACAGTTGCAATGTCAGAACAGCAATAATGCAAATAAATAGTGTGACACGATTAAGAAAAATTCATACCCTGTCTCAAAATTAACAGAGAATAATGAACAATTACTTCGAGGGGAGAGCGAACCCGGCACAATACACACGTCCTTGTTAATTTTGAGACAGGGTATGAATTTTTCTTAATCGTGTCACACTATTTATTTGCATTATTGCTGTTCTGACATTGCAACTGTTTATAACAGTTTTTTCATTATATTAGTAGTCTCGTCTCATTAATCGGGTAGTATTTTGTTATAATTTAATTGTGTTTATGAGCTCATTTCCGTCTGGTTTTTTTATATAGATATCTAGAATTATCCTAACGCATTGTTGCCCATTGCATCACTTGGCCTGTCATGGACCTACGCATCTTTGACGGTTGTTTATCTTTGAGATGCATGTTGGACTCAAGGCGGGATTCTTTCTGGATTGAATTTTTTCATCGAGGGGATCATGGCGTTTGTTGAGGGCATAGCGAGATTGCTGCGGTGCGGATTTGCGTATCCGCTTATTTGCGTTGTTGCGTTTTGCTTGCCGCATTTAAATATCATCCGTTAAGTTGCGAGAACATATCGACTTTTTTGACTTCTCAAGGTTTTATTATTATTTATTATTGTTTGCGTCGTTTGACAGCTCACTTCATTTGATTTTACATCATGTATTATTTTTTGTCTTTATATTTGTTATTTTTATTTTGATTACTGATATTGATAAGGACCTGAAGATGGTCGAAACGCGCGTATATCGTTATTATAATAAACGGAATATGATAGATTAGAACATTTCTGTGATAACCGTTTTAATTTTATTTTTCGCAACCAGTCATCTCTGCGTTGGTCCTTTAAGCCTTTTATTTATATTTTTGATCTTTTATTTATATTACCGTGCACAATATAATAATCTATAATTCTTACGTCATTTCAATATTCTACCGCCGCGCGAAATTCATAGTGCGCGATCAGCGCAGCTTGAATAATTATGTATTTTGACTTATACACGCGAGAAGTTACATACATCGCAAACTGAGGGAAACGTGCGCGCTGGGAATATGAGCGGGTTTCAGTTTCAACGAATGAAGTTTCAGCTGGCTCTGCTGCAAACGCTCGTCATGTTTAATTCGTGCGCTTTTTTCCCATATACGTTTAGGATGGTGGAATTACGCGGCATCCGCTCGCGTACGCACACACGTACACGCAAAATAACACGTAACACCTGCCGTACGATCGCAGTAACACGTAGCAAAAACGACACTGCAACGACACATCTATCGCTGCTGAAATCGCTCATCCGGTATATATACCTGATCAGCTCTCCTATGCACGACCACGTCTTTGCGTCTTGCCACCATACCGTAGCGAACATTCTCGAAGCTTTTCGCAGAGTGCGGGATTTTACAGGTGAAATAAATTCCGTTCTTTCCTTCTCTCTTCGCGTGCGAAGAAAAGCTCGCGCCACAAGCTTGTCTGAATCTCCGGGCGAGCGCAAGGGAGGTAGGATATCCCTCCAAGGATTCGTGATAATGCAGGATTGCTATCATAAGAATATACGCATTTACGGTTATTTGGTCGATGTATTTCTCTGCAATTTCGAACGGAATAAAGGTCAAATCGGAATTGGCTCCCGAAGTTGTTATTTGTCGTTACATGCTTACGAGAATGGATTTGTGTTTGAAAACAGTTAATTAATATCAGTTTTTTATATATCCAACATTTAACGAAGTATTCTCACAAATAACATTATATATGATCTTTAAAAGAAAGAAACAATTCTTAATATCAAATATGTATTCGTGATAATGAGATATCAATAGATAGTGTGAGTGCATTTCTAATGCATTGAAAATAATTATTTAAATAAAATATTATTTAAAAGTTTTTATTCTCCGTGAGAATAATAAGTACACAAAAATTAATATTGATATAATATTGATTTATACAATAATTAAAATTATTTAGAACAATAATTTGAGAAATGTTATCAGTAACACTATTATTTGATACAATAAATTTAATAAATAATGAATAGAATATATTAATATTTTAGTAACTTTAATCTTTGAATGTGAGATAAAAAAAGGAATACAATTCGATATTTCATAATACAAAATCAGGACGAAAGTGAAAATTTTAAATTAATAAGCTCTCTACGTAAGCTTTCTAAATCATTAACTATTAAATTAAATTAAATTATAAAATAAATTGCATATTTTTTGTATTCAAGATGAATATGTAACTGTTTTATTACTTGCTTGCAATATCGTAGATTCAATATTGCGTGTTTATAGAAAGAGAGATATCAGTAAAAGCATATTAAAAATTTTGTGACATCAGAGTAAAAGGGAAAAATATCAATAACTAGTTCCGATGAACGGAAAAACAGTATACGCAATATACGCGAATCGGATTGACTCAATGAATTTAATAAACCTTAAAAGTGTGTCGGAAACTGAATCGAAGACGAAGATGTATTCATCAAACTGTTATTGGCACGGCATCGCACATCGTCGATCGTTGTTCAAACTCTCGTTCCAACTTCCGCAAAGGTAGGACGGACACACATGTAGCGGGAATTCATTATGTAATCTAGCAAATCTCTATGCGACACATCGCTGCGACTTGTCGGAAGTTAGTTGACCGCGTATGATTGCTCTCGAAGAGACCAGAACTAAAACTCTTCTTGCACGCAATGTGTTTCATTACATTTGCGTTATATATCGAATTTTGTACAATTTAAGACTGACGTTAATAAAGAGAAACAATTCAAAAACCACTTTTAAAAAAACAATCAATTAATATGTCACAAATCGATTTCGCTGACAAATAAATTTTTTTCAAATTTTCTGAATATTAATTTCCTGTTTGATTAAAAAATGCAATGTGCGTGTGGTTTTAATTGAATAAATCAAGTAACCGAATCTGTTTATTTTATAATTTATATTTATTTTATAATACTCGAGATATATTATTCCAATATATATTGATGCACATTTCTTTTGAGAGTAAACTTAATAGCTTAACGTAGTTTATATGCGTTTCTAAAGCATACCGAAATTTCATTCGGATTACATCCAACTTCGTAATGACTGCGGATGGATGGCAAAGATAGAGCGGCGACAGGACATTTCGGGTAAGCGAAGTTGCCAATGCGAAATTCTAACAGAATTTTAGAGAGATTAGCCTCTTGGTATTTACGAGATTATCCACGTAACCTAATTTCTCGTTTCTCTTTCTCCCTACCCTTCTCTACTTTCTTATAATGGCCGACAGCTTTTAAGAAAGTTCTCATTAAAACTTTGGTCCATTATAAGGATTAGTTAATTTGGAGGATATAAACTATAATGTTGTCGGTAAATTTTCAAAATCAATAATGTATAAGTCCAAAAGATTATTTATAAGTGATCATATATATATATATATATATATATATATATATATATATATATATATATAATTATAGTCTATTCCATTTATAGATTACACAGACCTGCGAGAGTCAGTTACAAAGAGTAGTAGTGAAACTAAATAATAAATTTTTTTACGCTGAAAATGAATCTGACCGCAGAATGTCCTCAACACGTCAGGTTTTTGAGTAAGGTGTACTTAAATAATTCAAAAATTTATTTCGGCCGAATCATAAATTTATTATAGGGAAACCTAAATTTTGAAATATTTCTGCTAATGTCATGGTATAGTAGTAATTGTAGAGTATTAGTTTTCATCTTTAATAGAATAAAAATCAAAATTCTAAATATTATAATTATAAATGCTTTAAAACAAAAATATTATAAATTATAAATTATGATATGCTTTAAAGCAAAAAAAAACTTATACTTCCTATGATATCGTTTTCTATGTTTAGAAGTATTAATTTTTTGTGCTAGTTAAAATGTAATATCTTGTATATGCATTTATCGATAATAATTTTTTTTAAATTCCGTCTATGGAATTGCAATGATAAAATTATAGTAGAACATCATTTTCTTTTAGCACAGCTAAAATAACTTTCATTAGTTTTCTTAAAATATTATTTAACTAAAAAAAAATAATAAGTTAAAAGAATGAAATATATATATTTCTTCATGACGTATATAAAATATATTTGCATCAGAGAGGCATATTTACGTCTAGGCATATTCATAAATTAAATGTGACTTCCCCATTAAACGATTATTTTTATGGTGACGTTCCATACGGATTTTCAAATCCGTTAGTAAATTACCCAAGCTTCATATCAACCATTATGAGTTAGTAGTCTAGTAGTGTGATTCAACGAATAATTAGTTAGTGCATACAGTGTCAATATAGCGTACAATTTAGTAAAAGCTGGAGCGCAATTTGCGGCGAGCTCACGTCTACCTTAGTCAAATCATTGCTGCCAGAACCATCGAACAAGTCGGAATCGTAATCACCAGAGCCGCGCTCTTCGTCTGAAAACTATAAAAACATGTGGCATTAATGAATGGATACCAATAAATTGTAAATCCTTATTAGACACCAACGTTGAATATCATTTCCTTAAACGAGGTCGATGTAACGAGTATAACAATGAAAAGTGCAAACAACGAAAAAGAGAATCTAAAAAGTATTTATTTAAGTTTAGTTTACTGATATCATAAACGTTTATAATAATTGATACTTTGTGGCAATATTCTTCTAGCTGATTTTTCTATGTTATTAGAGAGAGCTATATGAGTATTCAAAATATGCACTGGAAATATTATATGAGATGTATACTGGATATATGGAGGAAATTATTTTATTTAATCGCGTTTGAAATAATTTATTACCCATCCTTTTCAAATATTTGCATATTTATATTATAATTATATATTTGCATATTTATATTATAATATAATATTAAGGCAAAGAAAAGAAATAATTATCGCAGATTAGAATAGTATTTAATCTTACAATTAAATTTTATTTAAAATTTATCACATTGTGCTATATAACAATAAAATATATCAAAACAAAATTTAAATTCTTCTTATACATATACGCATTCATTATCTTATATATATATTTATTTAATAATTAAAATATATTTATTCGTGATGAGGGATACTAAATTAATGATCGTTTATCAATGTCAAATATTAATACATATTTCTATGATAACTTGATTCGAAAATTTGTTTTTGAGTTTTGCTCAATAGTATGTCAATATAAACATTTTAATAACATATTTATTACCATCAACAACAAATATTAAATGTATGCAATTAGTAATGTATTTTGATTTTAAACAAATTAGATTCGCATGATCTGATTTTCTATATGTATTTCAGTTATGCATTTCATTTGTTTAAAATTAGAATTCTGTATTATTCGATAATTCCAGGATTTCATATTCCAATCAATTGCAATGCATATCGTACTACAGAATGAACATATGTGTCTATCAAACATGATACTCATATCGAAATTTCAGAGAAAGCTGCGCATATCGAGTCAATCGGTTTATTATGTAATACTGGCAATTGACTCGATTAATTTGTTTCAGCAAGTTATTTTACAGCAATGGATTTAACAGTTTTCGATTTTTAATTTTAATAATATTTAAGAAATAGAATATATTTTAAGCTTAGCTTCTTTTTTATTTTTGTAGATAGTTGCTGCACATATGACGAATATCGCGCGTTAGTAATCTCAGATTTTTTATTTTTAGGTACTTCCTCTGTCAGTGCACGTTGATTGGTGCTTAAACGTCGGCATTTTCCTGAAATTTCTCGGAACTGGTATCGAATAAACGTATCTTCGAGAGCGAAGCACTTGAAGGAAAGAGCACTCGACCTCTCGGTCACAGACAAACCCAAAATATTCGGAATGATATAGAGGGATAAAATATCGCTGTATTTGTGCAGTGAATATTTTACGATATCTGGTACGGATTATAGGACTCAAGAACGAAAGTATTAGTCTATGCAATATGCCGATTTATTCTTTGAAAAAGCTGCTTATCATATTTGAAACAAAAGTATACACAATTTTCCAGAATTATTATATTAGAAGATAAATGCAGCGTTTATCCATAGCGAAGGAGTCAATCTTAAATCAGTTTTAACTTAGAATTGATGGTAAAAAAAAGAATATTAAAAACATTCTTATATATACTATAGATTAAATATTATATTGTATATTGTATTTAATTTTTGGAAGTTTGATATTTGATTTTCTAATTAATTTTCTTTCTCTTTCAAATCAGACAACTCTTTTAAGATAAAATAAATAATAATAATATATAAAAATAAAAAAAATAATAGATAAAAAATATATAATAGATAAAATAATAATATAATTTTAAAAATTCTACATTTAATTTAAAGTAGATAAAATCTACTTTCAATTTATTGAGAAATAAAATTATATATATATATATATATATATATATATATATATATAATTTTCACATTTTTAAAAAAATTTTTAAAAAAATGTTTCGTTAAAATTTAAATATCAGCTTTTAAAGAAAAAATGCAAAGAATTATGCATTAATTTTGTCGAGGAATATATATATAAGATACATAATTGATAAAATAATAATGGAATAAAAATAGGTAAAATGATAATATAATTCCTAATTTTTTTTATTTAAAGTACATTTTATCTAAATTTAAATTGAGAAATAATATTCTATTATTTTTTTTTAATTTAATTTGTGATTAATGTGTGATTTATAAGTCAATTATTATAGATATAAATAAATTGTATAAACAATTTATTTATATTTATAATAATCGATCTATAAATCACATTAATCACAAATTAAATTAAAAAAAATAATAGAATATTATGTACATATATATCTTATATATATATATATATATATATATATATATATATATATATATATAAGATATGAGATATGAGAAGAATCTCTAAAAGAATCTTTTAATTTCACGTGCGAGAAACGAGGATGCACAATGTGTGAATCGTATACATATAGGGGAACAAAAAGTTGTAAAATCCGATGGAGAATGTTATGAAGCAGCGAAAGGCCATGAAAGGGTTGGGCTTGTGGTGCAATATAAATCCCATAGCATGTGAAAAGTAAGTGCGAGGTCCGCCTGTTTCTTGCGCGATGTTAAACAGTAAAGTAAACTGAAAACTCGGCGCACCTGTTTTAGGTTGTCACGACGTTATGCATAAAACGAATGATTAAGTCGATTCGAAAAATACTGCATTAATTTTAAATTTCCATCAAATTTTATGTCACTATTTTTTCAAATAAAGAACTTTTTATTTATAAGAAGAAATATTGATGTAATTATACTACATGTTCTTAAAAAAGGTTATTAATATTCTCATTATATTTGTAAAAGAGAAAAACTGATCTATCTAATTAAACAGAAAATACTGATGTATTTATAATTATACATGCTTTAGTAAAGATTTTTAAAATTCTCTATAAAAACTAGAATAAAAATAAAAGTTAGTATGAAAAAATTTTTCTTTCTTAGTAAAAGATTTGTACAATACTAGTCAAAAATATTGTATCACTTATAGAAATAAAGAAGTCTTACTTTAATAAACAAAAACATATATAAATATTATCAAATTATTATATTATGCTTCAATATCGTAAATATTAAAAATTATAATAAATAATATAATAGAAACATTAAACTTTTGATCTCAAAATAGCCTCTCTTTCAATATTGCTGCACTTCTCTTGGCGTTCTTGATAATAGTTGTTTTAAAATTATCACTGATATTTAATTTCAGCATATTTGCAAATACTCTCACAATTGTTGTGCGAGATTGTAGAGGAAAAAATAGGTGATACATATATATATATATATAATGTATGTTATTTTTTATACAAAAACATTGATAAATATGTTGTTTTTGACGTACAGAAATTTATAACGCGGCTGTAAAAAGTATCAGTAATATAACATTTTAAATAATATCAAAACAAATATTATAATAATTGTATATAAACTAATTTTAGAAATCAAATGACAAATAATATACACTTTTCATATTTTATGAATATGAGTAGAATAATTAAGAGGAAAAAATAATTTAATCATTTACTTATTTCTCTTTATTCGGTATTTTTTGGGGAAAATACACACATATATATATCATTATTTAAGCTCAATATAATTTACTTTTTGCGAAAAAAATGGACCCGTCGCTTGTATAGCTTTCGCTATAACCCTTGTAGTATATAAGATCTACAGGGTTAACATTATTCGCGATTGCGAATTATCGTATGCATACATATACAGGTTGCTTCTAAATTCATGACTGCTAGCTGCAAATAACGATAATTCCAACTTGCCGCGAGTTGCAAAACGAAATAAAGCGTGCGGTAACTCGATTTACGCGAGCGGCCGCCGGGATGTTCAGCTCTCTTTTTTTCCTCTCCCTTTTTCTCACGAAATTTTATGCCTTTTTCGATACGTTTACATTTTATAGAAGGGCATTATATCGGCGCGTGCGTTTAACCATGTCTGAACAAATTTACGTGAGGCACGTGTGAACGCGAATTAATTCGATTCGCGATTGCGAATCCTCTTTCTAACATATATATTGGCGATTTTTTATTAATAAGCATTGTTCGCGAAAAACTTTACACGAAATACGCTTAATAAGAGTTTCATGAAACTCACTCGACATTCTGCGAGACGCTTCTACCCATTAAACATTCGATGTTCATTCTTCCTTCATTTTACAACTGGATAATTAAATAATTTATTCTTCTTCCAAAAGGTTTTAAAAAATAATCTGTTTTATCACAATTATTAGTTTTCAATATATATAAGTTATATATAAATTTTATAACACATACACTGAAATCTTTCGTTATATTCTCAAAAAAATTGTTTTTAATCGTTTGATATAAATAACTAAATGCAAAATATTTGAAACGTAGGAGTATCTCTTCAAGCCTCAGTCTGTACAATGTCCAGTTAGCCGACTTCTCACACAATGACATATTTCCAATATTTCAGTTAGATTATAATATGAATAATTCATAGGAAGCTCCAAGTTTGATTGGGATATCGCGAAGTGACGTCGAGTATTTCGATTTGTACTTGATTTTAATCTAAAAGGCGTGACGATGCTTTTTTTGCTCGTCCCTCATGGAACAATCTTAATCAAATTAATTTGTCGATTCTTATCGCGAATTAATGTTATTATTTGTTTCCTTTACGATCAAAGAGAGACAAATTTATAGTTAAAGTTAGATTTATTCTACGTGAAAATGTAGAGGATGACAAATTTTCGCGCTATGTAAAAGATGGTTAAGTCTTTTATATAAAATTTAAGCTGCGAATTTTTCGAATTAGCGGATTTTATATTATAATCAGAGAGTACACACACATACGTATATGTATATATACTCACACATGTACTCTCGCGAAACCCGGTTATTCTGTCCTCTTTTTTTCTTTTCTCATTGTAGATTTTCTTCATTTTTA